GTAGTGATCTGCCAGTTTACAGCCTCCCAAGAGCTGGGATTACAGGCACACGCCACCATGCCCGGTCTCAATGGCCATCTCAGTGTGCCCGGGTAGTGTGGCTGGCACCCTGCACCTGCAGGCACTTTAATCTGCTGAGCTATTTGGCCAGCCCTTTTAGTCAGAAATAAGCATGATGGTTACAAGCACACAAGGTTATATCGTTTCTACTTTCTCTTTTAACTTTATTTTTCTACTAGTACATATCTGTCATACATATTGATCGTATTCATAAGGAGTTTGTACATGTACATAATATATCTCGATTCTTTTTTTCCCAGTTCCCTAACCTCTTTTCTTTCCTTTTTTTTGGCGGAATCGGTGATTGAACTCAGGCCCGCTGGCAAGTGCTTATTTTACTGAACCATCTCCCTGGCCCCCCTAACCTCTTTTCAACCTTTCTTCCCCTCCCCTTTCTTTTTCTTCTCTTTTTTCCCCCTCTTTTTCTCTTCTCTCTCCCCTTTCTCTTCTTCTCTTCCCATCTGAACATGTTCTTCCTACTTCCCAATACCTGTCCTCCATTACGCTCCTTACTTACCCTTTGGGTTTCTCACACAAGAGAAAAAAATGTGATATTTAAACTTGTGTGGGGCCAGGGAGATGGCTCAGGAGAACAAGCACTTGCCTGGCAAGCACAAGGGCCTGAATTCAATCCCTGGTTCTGCCAAAAAAATAAAATAAAAAATAAATAAACTTGTGTAACCAATTTATTTCATGTAAGATTATGGTTTCAAGATATACCCATTTTCCTACACATATCTCAGGTTTCCCACACATATCTTATTACATTTTCCTACATACATCTATCTTATCCTTCTTTATGGTAGAGTAGTACTCCATTGTATTATAAATACCATATTCTATCTGCTTTTTCATATAGGTCTTTTCTTCTGGGGAAAAAAATCTTCTAAAGTTTGAAACTTAACAGCAGTATATTTTTGTACCAGACTTTTTTTTTTTTTTTCTGGAATCACTGACAAGAATGTAACAACAGGGCTGGGGAGATGGCTCAGTGGAATAAATGCTTCCATGGCAAGTGCAAGGGCCTGAGTTCAATCCCTGGTTCAGAAAAAAAAAAAAAAGAATGTAACAAGAACATTTTCTATTTCACACACAAAAAAGAATTCAGCATTAATTGGGCAAGCTTGTGTCAGTCCCACAGGTTCCTTCTACATACAAATTTTTTTCTTTGTTGTATATTGAATATGTAAGCAGTATTTATAGGCTCTGAAGAACCAGAGTAGAAACATTTCCAATTAATAAAAGAAAAATGAAAGGGATCCTCACATTTTATGATTAGAAAATGAATCGTGCACTTTTACCTATCTCTGACCCGTTTTTTCAAACTGCTTTCCAATTATAAATCACAGTATCATATGATAACTATTCAATATTACACAGATTTACTAGCAGATAAAAAGTTTTTACCAAACTAATGCCTGTCATAATACACCACGTACCTGTGATATGCAAAGAATCTGCTCAAATTCTGGTCCTTTTAAAATGTTATTCTGTCCAGCCATGCCCTAAAACCTAAACACCATGCTAAGCAGCCCTTACTACTAACCAAAAATGGTCACAGAGAATCTAAATTCTAGGCATTAAGTTTAAACATTAGTGAGTGCGATTGGCCAAACCTGCGCGTCGAATTTGGAGGCCTGGCACGAAAGAGCGGTTTTGGTAACTCAGGCATCCAAGGATATTAACACCTGCAAAATACCGCCGCGCAGATCCGGCTCACAAGAGGCCTACGCAGGAAACAGTAAGTTGCAGAGTCGCTAACTAAGCATACCATCACACCGCTGCACCGGAACGTGGCCCTCGGGGAGGCAGCAGCTCCTCATCCGAGACCCGCAGGGAAGCTCCCGCCTCCGCCGGGGTGCTCAACCGCACCCGAGGCAGCAGCCCCGCCACCCGGAGGCCGGCGCGGGGACACCTCCGCACGCCCCCGCAGGAGGGCGGCGGGCAGGGCGGCCCGGCTCCCGCGCCGAGCAGCGGGGCGGCGCCAGGCGGAAGGAGGGGAGCGCCCGGAGGGAGGCCTGGAGCGCGCCCTCCTCCCCACCCCGCCCCCGCGGGCGCCGGCTGCAGCAGCCCGCGGGGCCCGCCGGCAGGGGTGACAGCGGACGAGGGGCCCACCGGGCCCGGTTTCCTACGAGACTCCAGCGACCCGAGCCCCAGGGGTTACCGCGCGCGCAGGGCCCTGCCAATCCGGGACCTGACAGCGGAAGGGCAGCTCCCGCCAGGGGAATAACTGGACCCTGCCAGCCCGCGTCGGTCCCCAGGCCAGGGCCAAGCGGGCTCCTCCATTATAAGATGGCCCTCGGGCCTCCCTTTTCTGCGCCGCCCGCGAAAGAGCCCTGAACTCTCCCCCTAGGGGACGCGTCGCTGCCCCTGCTCGCCTCCCGGTTACGACAGCCGTCACCAGCAAGTCACTCACTCCGCTTCCGCCATCTTCTCTCCTCCATCACTAACTCGGGCTGCGCATGCGCCCCCGGCGGCGGCGGCGGCGGCGGC